CCATTTCTGGCCGGCAACTTTCAGCGTCATTAAGCCGCTGCGCCACCGCGTCCCCAAATATCTCTTTACTTTGAATGAATTTAAATCTCCAGGACCAGATGAATTGTATCCAATTGTATAATAAAGGAGCTTGCTAATTGTTTCTCTGAACCCTTATGTGTTATCTTTAAGAAATCCTGCAGATCTAATGAAGTGCCAGTTGACTAGAGAATAGCAAATGTTGTTCCTATTGTGGGGCAGGGTGGGGTAGAAAGGAAGATCTAGCAAACTACAGATTAGCTTGACAGCAATACCTGGGGAGATTGTTTTGTTTTGTTTTGTTTTTGGGTGCCTTTGAGTCAGTTTTGACTCCTGGCAACTGCCTGGACAAGTTCCTGCAGTTTTCATGGCATAATTTCAGAAGTAGCATAGTAATGCCTTCTTCCTAGGGCTGAATGAGAGTGACTGGCCCAAGGTCACTCAACTGGCTTTGTGCCTAAGGTAGGACTAGAACTCACAGTCTTCCGGGTTCTAGCCTGGTGCCTTCACCACTACACCAAATTGGCTCACAAGATTGTAAAACAGATCAAAAGGAGATCTATTTGTAAGCTCTTTGAAAGCAATTTTAGCAATTAGCAGAAGTCAGCATGGATTTATCAACAGTATAATATTGTTATACTGTTTTAATTGTTAGTTGCCCAGAATCATGTACTTGAGGTGGACAGCCATGTACATTAAATAAATAAATAATAGCAAATTTGCCAGACTAACATTACTTTATTTTCTGATCAGAATTGTTTCTTAGTAGATTGTGGGAATGCTATAAACATAACATATCATAATTTTAACCAAGCATTTGACAAAGTATACCTTGGCAATTCTGATTAGAAAGCTAATTAAGTCTGGGTTGGGTGGCAGAACAAAATTTTGGAGTACAGCGGCAGTACTGTAATTCATCCATCCAAACATACCTGACTTGAAAATAAATACTTCAAGACAGCCTATCAGTAAACATTTCACAAACAAAAATCAAATACACAAGTATACGATGGGGATTCCCAGTTTGGTAATAGTACTTGTAAAAAGTAGTTTTGGAACAGTAATTGATTATAAACTGAATATGAGCCAGCAGGGTGGTGATGTAGGCTGCATCAACTAAAATATAATATCCAAATCATAGGAAGTAATCATTCCACTTTATTCTTCTTTGGTCACAGTCCAACTGAAGTATTGCATCTGGTTCTGGGCATCCCATTTTAAGGATTTATGAAAAGGTTCAGAAAATGGCAAAGTAATGAAAATGAAGTCCTATGGAGCAAGATTGAAGAAGCTTGATATATTTAGCCTTGAGAAAAGACAACTGTGGATACAATAGTATTCTTCAAATATCTGAAAGGATGCCACACAGAAGAAGGTCAAGATCTATTCACTCTCATTCCAGGGTGCAGGACACAATGGAATAGATTTAAATACAGGAATGCAAATTCTTGTTAAACGTAGCAGGGGTGGGTGGGGAAACTAGCAGTAAGAGAAATTTGACAGCAGAAGCAATTATCCAGAGAGGTGGTGGGCTCTTCTTCAGTAAGTGTGTTCAAGCAGAGGATATATATATATATAAAAAATCCCCTCTCCTATGGGTGGTCTGTGTCTTCCTCAGTCTTGGGTCCTCTACCAGAGGTCTGGGACTTTGAGGGTTCTGCGTAGTGTCTTAGCTATACCTAGCACTGCACTCTTCTGGACAGAGGGTTCTGATGTTGTTCCTGGGATCTGCTGGAGCCACTCTCCCAGCTTAGGAGTCACAGCCCCGACTGCTCCTGCCACCATTGGGACCACTTTGGCCTTTCCTTTCCACATCCTCTCTAGTTCCTCCTTCAGGCCTTGGTACTTCTCCAGCTTTTCATACTCCTTCCTGATATTGCTGTCACATGGCACTGCTACATCTGTCACCACAGCTGTCTTCTGGTATACACATACACACATGTACACACACACATGCACACATACATACATAAAGGATAGAAGATCCCTGCCCCCCCCCCCCATTTATGTGGGCATCTTGTACAACAATTGAATCAGAGTTGTCATGGAAACAAATTCACACATGCACACATACATACATAAAGGATAGAAGATCCCTGCCCCCCCCCCCCATTTATGTGGGCATCTTGTACAACAATTGAATCAGAGTTGTCATGGAAACAAATTAGCAGGCACATTATATCATTTAGATTTTAATTTTGAATGTGTTTCTCAGAATCTAACTTTTGTCCTCCTAACACCAGCACACACTCACACACACACACACACACACAGACACATGCGCAGCATCCCAATATCAAAGCCCATTATGATTATGGAAATCACTGGGGCTGTAGCACCAAAATCCCAGTTACAGTTAAGGAAAGCATTAATGCTCTACAACCTTCACCATGGAAGCATTTGCATGGATCTTTTGCTTAATCCCAGGGAAAATTAGAAGATGTTGCATGGCAACATTGCTTGGTAAATTGTTCCCATTGTTTCCAGACAAGTGAGAAGACTAGGAATACTAATTTATTTGAATAATAGTGTCCAAAAGGAAAATATGATGGTGTTGAGTGAAAATGTTGAACCACCATTTAGAAGTCATTTCAAACAGCTAATTTATAGCAAGAAATGAATTCATAATCACAGAGATCACTGCAGAACCTAAACAATTGTTTTCCGCATCTCCATGGAGAAAATGACTATATTTGCAAATAAATCAACTCTCTCTCGAAAGAAAGAATTGCTTCCCATGAAGAACCTACAGATTGGGGTTTTAAAGAAACGTGTTCAGAGATAGCACATCCCGAACGTTATTTTCATATTCTTTCGTATTATGACAGCTAGCATTCCTTTTGGCCGTATTTGTCTAGTTACTGCAGAAGGAAAGCCTGGATATATCATTAGTGTGAGTGTGTGTTTTAGCCTGCCATAATTGCAGATTATTTCATGTCTTGGAAAGAAAAGCATAGTTGCTTTCCATTAAATCAAGCATGGGTCCTTTCTTTCTCTCTATTTTTCTTTTGCTAAGCAAAATACTGGGAGGGAACCCTAATAGATCAATTATCCATCCTTGAAAAGTTTGAGATATCATAGACATGTAGTTTCTAAGTACTGAAAGACTGGGTAGGTTGAAAGATATGAGTAGAGAGTGCATTTGCAACCTAATTGAGAAAAAGCAAGGGGATTTAAATTGTCAGCTATGAAGAAATGCAGGATGACTCTCCAAATGAGAGAGATTGAGAACGTATTTTGCTTGCTGGAACAATTTTCAGTGGCAGGCTACCTATGCTCTGAATTATAAACTCATTGGTTTTTCCTTGAGGGGCATTGGCTGGGTATGCAAAATAAGACCAGCGTTTGGTAAAACAACATCTTCAAAATTGATGCATAATGATATGACAAATTCCTCCTATCAGACAATATAAAATAATAGTATTGTGGTATTTTCTTGTTATTATAAATAGAATGGGTTCAGTTCTATAACATGCTACAGAGAATAGGATAAATGCCCATTATCTTGATACAGGTGGTGTGTCATAGAATTTGATAAACTCCTCAGTGGAAGCCACTGAATTATAATTTATCAAGAAATAAAATTCTATCACTTTTCACCCCATGAGATATTATTTAGCTTACCAATGTGAGGATGTTTTCATTATCATCAATCCTGCTTTGTGAAATATCACAATGCTTGTTTTATATTTAGTTAAGCTTTAATATAATTGTCATAGCCAATATTATTGTATTTCATTTGCCTTGGACATTTCTGCCAACAGTTACCTTTGATGCACCTCCACAATCTTGTGTATCTGTAGCGGCCAGTTTAGGAAATACTTCATGCATCTGATGAAGTGGACTTTTGTCTGTGAAAACTTAGGTCAAAATAATTTTGTTTGTCTTTAATGCGCCACAGGAGTCTGTTTAATTGCAAATATGGGCACAAAAACCATATTTCTGAATTTGGTCTTAGCAAACAAATATGACTAAAGCTCCTGTCATCTACTTTTAAGAAAGAACCACTAAACTCAGTGGGATTGTCAATTGATATAAACATGCATTGGAATATGCTGTAAGTCTCATGGGTATCTTTGACCTTTAAATTGATCCCATTCCATTGCTTTGGAAGCTTAGACGTGTCTAATTTTTGACAGCTGGTCTCTCTGAACTTCCTGCATCTTCTGAACAAATGAGCCATAGCCTTTCTTTGATGTCGCTGAACCTTCTAAAACTTCTCGAGTTTTTCTTTCATGCTGCATCTACATGTTGCATTGAGATTGATCTGTATTTCATCTCCACTTCTATGTGAAAAAAAGAGTTCACCTAAAATATCACTATATTGCTGCTGTGATATTTATTTATTTAGCATAAAAATGGATAAGCTGCCAACTCATCTGACTCTAAAAGACTACCACTGGAGTCATGGAGACCAATGGAGACCTAATAACCCTATAAAATCCAAGTTAAAATGTTCCACACTGAGAATGTGAAAAATTATATATAGGTAAGGCCCCAGTTATTCCACTCTAGCTCATTACAGCTTTAGGATAGTTTTGAAATGGACCTTCTGCTTTTCTAAGGAACAGTATTTTTTTCAGAACTGTTAGCAACCAAAGCATTTCAAGGAGAGACACACACCTAGTTTTTGCATATATAACAGGCAAACTACATGATGTCCTTCCTTGGAACTCTTAAACAGCTCATTAAACAAGTGTAGTTTCTGTGTTTATAAATAAGGTAGTTTGACTTAAGCATGGGATACTAATAACATCTACTACATAACTTCCATCTTTAATCTTTTCTATGTCATATTTTAATTACATCTCTGATTTTATAAAGGACAGTAGGGCTTAGGGGTTAGTTTCATTCCTTTCTGTCCATT